CCCCAAAACCCCAAAACCCCAAAACCCCAAAACCCCATGATCAAAGAATACAAGTGATCTTATGTTCTTTTATATTTAATTTTAATATCTAAACAAGTTGGAGAAATAAATCTAATTGTAATGATTTTGTTTTTTCAAATATTAAATATCATACTCTTTGTTAAATTAACACAAGAGATTGATATCGAAGTTTCTTTTAAGACACCTTACTGCATTAAGGATTCCCTCTATTACACTTTAGAAGCATAGTATTTCTAAAGCAAGGAGAACTTCTGGGATTCTGTTTTAAATTATAGGAATAAAGATGAATATATGAAAGAATTTTCTATTCCTAAATACTATACTAATCCAGATGATCAAACTCGGTTGGAATATTACAATTAACTTGAAAAGAGCTAATCAGAGCTATTTGATACTCAATCATGTCCAGTATGGATTAAAAGTATAAAATATGACAATTAGAAATTGAATACGAAACTATAGAAAAAGTATTAAAACATAGAGGTGTATTGTGGTCTAAATTCTTATATGAATGATAATCCGATAAGATCTAAAAATAGATTAGTTAGCATCTTACAATGAGAATCAATAGATTTCTCAAAAGATAAAATACTTTATAGCAACCTAAATGATCCTGAAGTGCTAATTATTTACATGGATTTCAAGCAAGTTGATGTTATAGAAACCTTGAATAAAATACAACACAAAAACATTGTACTTAGATACAAATTCACAGACTGTTTAAGCAATAATGAACATCATGTTGATTTGCCTAAATATCATGCTAATAAAACTGAAAGTTTTTAGGCGTTAGCCCTTGATATTTAAATTCATAAGTTTCAGGATAGACATCATGATCTTATAATTCATGCCTAGTACTATAGGAGAAGCACTCATAAAGACAGACTTCATAAAATCTTTGATCCTTACTAAGCGTATATACTTAATCAGACAAGATTAGCAAAAGACTTAAATCAGCTAGCAAATGTATTGGAAAATCATCCAAACTTTATCATATAAGTTGAGTATAAACATCCAAAGGAACAAAAACTGAATTTTACTGGGCAGATTACTAAAGAAGAGTTTTTTATTGTCAATCACAAATGTGTGAGATTAAATAGACATACAACAGACCCTATCTACTTGAATCTTAAAATAATGGAAGCATTTAAAGAATCATTGATCTTCAGTTAGTATGTAGAAAATCCTCAGCAACTTTATGAGAATATTCTATCACTTGAACATAAACTGCCAGTTTTTAATCCGAAATTTTTATCTCAAAAAAGTTAAGCATTTTTAACACTAGAAAAACCAAAAACTGATGAGGATCTAGCATAATTCAAACTTTTAATTCAATAGTTAGAAAAGCAATATGAACTAACAGATTTGAATTTATTATCAGATTAATAAATGATATCTAGAATCATCCAGGTTCTTTTGATAGTTGAAATAAAACACACTTAAGAACAGTTTAGTCTGTTTTAAGCATTAGCTATAATAAATAAAGATCACATCTAGTTTGATATGAAACTGATTATTGTTGATAGTGCGAATAATAATTAGACAAATATTAGAGGAATATACTAATGCATCATAGCTACATTTGATAAGACATTAAACTATGAATTCTTAGTAGAAATGTTTTCAAGTGACCCTTATAAGATATGCTAGAAGGATTTAAACTAGCCAAAAACAGAGAATATAATCTAAACAATTAGCTAAATGGATATATTGAGCTCCTAAGATCTTTGTAATGACAACAGTATCTGCCAGTTTCCCTTTATGATGATAAACTAGAATGTAATTAATTAGCATGAACTAATTAGAACTTTGGCATTGAGCAAGGAGAAGCCTGATTAAATTACAGATTTAATCAAGAGTATTATGATAGACCAAATATTAAGACATAAAGTTACGATATAATCTTCTTATAAGATTTAAAACAATCTGTTTAACACATATGTAGAAGAACTAAATGATCATAAATATCAATCTGAGTAATATTCATTAGATATACGAAATTAATACCTTTATTAGGACATTTAGAAATAATCAAAGTTGAAACTTATTGACACGCAAGATAAATTACGTAAAAATTCGATAGTATTAATCTTAGCTTCGTCCTAAGATCAAGAAGTTTTGAATAATCTTAAAAAATGGGTTGATTAATTGCAATAAATAGAAGATTAAGTTACCTTAGAAATAGTAGATAATTTTAATAATCATCTATTGTTAGGACAACTCTCATTAGGATAGGAAACCTACATCTTTATAAATGGTATCTTAGTTGATTCTTTTGGATTGACTTAGAGAAGGTTTTAGCAATTAATTTCAAGTGAAATAAAACAAGCAAATCTGTTACTGGATGGAATATAATTGAAAAATAAGTTTGATAGAGTGAGATTGATCAACGAAATTAAATTGACTGAATATTCAAAAAGAAATTCGTCTTTGCCAGATGAATTTAACTGCATTGAAGAGTATGAAAAGGCAGCTAATCTGACAATTGCACTAAATAAGTACAAAACAGTGGAGAATCCAATATTGAACTTTAAAGCTAAGTTAAATGTATTGACCAGAGATTCAGTCAACTTTGTTTCACTCATCAATCAAATCAAACTTGGATTTAAAATTGAAATAGCATTCTTTACACAAAGAAGTCTTGGAATTAAAATGAAATATATTCCATACTACTACTTTAGAATATTCTTTGCGAATCATTAAATTTTCAACGAGAATGTATTTAAGATCTAAAACTTAAGCAGTAGATACTAGGATTATTCGATAAATCTATTATAGCAAAGAAAATAAGTGTTTGTTATTAATGAGATAACTCACTATTACGAATTAGATGATATCAGATTAGAAAACAAAAATAGTTCTAATAAAGTTTCAGTTTTTGGTTAAAAAGGCTATAGTTTGGTCTTTAATACTGAGTCAATTAAAAAGCTTGAAAGTTAATAGAATGAATAACAGGTTAAAAAGTATTATTACTAATCCCTTAATAAACATAAAATCCTATGGTCTAGTTTTATCAGAAAAGAGTAAACTAGCTAGTAAAGTTATCTTATAATAACAATAATCTATATAATCCATTTATAATCAACAAATAGAACCGATTTTCTTAAAATGAAAAGAACATCACTATGAAAGAGAAATTTATGCTTTTAGATGGAGTTGGCAAATTTATTTAAAGCTATTATTCAATATTGCATCAATATCTGTAACTTAATCTCTAAGAGCCTGGTAGATACTACTTGATAAGAGAGAACACTTAAGAATTAATCACATTCGATTTCTCATCAGTAATATAGAGTGATGGAATTCTTGATTAACTGGAGTTTTATTAAGATTATGATTCATAAATATTTAGATTTTCAGAACTTGATGAGTTCAAAACAAATTTTAACTTTTAAGATTATCTAAAAATAGACAAAAAAGATACAGTTAACATTTACTATACTGTATCTGGAAGTCTATTTGAAAAATTTGCTTTATATCAGATGTAGTAAATGCTAGAATAGAATACTCAGGAATAATACAGATTTTTAATATATGAGGGAACATTTTGTAGTCCAAGTTTCAAAAAGTCAATTTTTAAGCTTAAAGGAAAGTATAGTTTTGATCTTGATTTTATAAATTAACCATGGCCTCATGATATTGCTTTCCAAGATCCAGATCCTAAAAGAGCTATCAATCTTTATAGATTAATGTTCTTGGATAATAGCCTTCCTCATGATATAGATAGAGTCATATATCGTGATGCTGATTAGTGCAATCTAGAAAATTCTGACATGCGAGAACTATAAAATACTGACATTTAAGATTTCCCTTAAGCAATGGTACCACATTGTAGACATTATAATAATAAAGGGTATGATATGAATCAAGTGATGAAATCTTTAGGTAAAAATCTGACTTATTTTACCAATAACATCATATTGATTGATACTAAGAAACTTAGAGAATCTCTCAATCCAGATATTATCTTGAATTTTTATTAGGCTGCTGTATAAAAATGGGGATTTGATCCTTTTTTGTTATCTTAGGATATTTAAAGTACAGCTTAGTTGGTTGTTCCAATATTTCCATTACACGAGGATTGGGAGTGGGCTGAAAGTTTCTGTGACCCTCATAAGAAAGTGACAGCTCGAATTATAGATTTCTAAGATATGAAGAAAGAGGATAAGCTTAAAATTGCTAAAAGAGTTTGCCCTAATTACTCATCAAATTTCATTTCGCTACTTGATTTCTTAAGCAATTGAAAATTTAGTAAAATCTATTCATACTAATATATTCGAAATTGAAGTACTATGAATAGTATTGATTGAGAATTTGCTTTTGAGCTGAATATTAATAAGTTTGCAACTTAAAATAATTCTGATTATTTTCTTAATTCTCGACTAATTTAAAAATTAATTATTTATGGGGTTTTGGGGTTTTGGGGTTTTGGGG